ATTGAGAATGATATTTGCTGTGGGCTTTTCGTAGATGGCTTTTAAGATATCGAGGAAAGTTCCCTCTATCCCTACACTCTGAAGAGTTTTGATCAGGAATGGATGCTGTATTTTGTCAAATGCTTTCTCTGCATCTAATGAGAGGATCCTATGGTTCTTGGTTTTTCTCTTGCTGATATGATGAATCACATTGATTGTTTTATGAGTGTTGAACCAGCCTTGTGTCCCCGGGATAAATCCTACTTGGTCATGGTGAATAATTTTCTTAATGTGTTGTTGGATCCTATTGGCTAGTATCTTGTTGAGAATTTTTGCATCCATGTTCATCAGGGATATTGGTCTGTAATTCTCCTTTTTGGTGGGGTCTTTGTCTGGTTTTGGAATTAAGGTGATGCTGGCCTCATAGAATGAATTTGGAAGTACTCCATCTCTTTCTATCTTTCCAAACAGCTTTAGTAGAACAGGTATGATTTCTTCTTTAAACGTTTGATAGAATTCCCCTGGGAAGCCATCTGGCCCTGGACTCTTGTGTCTTGGGAGGTTTTTGATGACTGCTTCAATTTCCTCCCTGGTTATTGGCCTGTTCAGGTTTTCTATTTCTTCCTGCTCCAGTTTTGGTAGTTTGTGGCTTTCCAGGAATGCGTCCATTTCTTCTAGATTGCCTAATTTATTGGCGTAGAGCTGTTCATAATATGTTTTTAAAATCGTTTGTATTTCCTTGGTGTTGGTAGTGATCTCTCCTTTCTCATTCATGATTTTATTAATTTGAGTCTTCTCTCTCTTCTTTTTAATAAGGTTGGCTAATGGTTTATCTATCTTATTAATTCTTTCAAAGAACCAACTCCTGGTTCTATTGATCTGTTCCAGTTCTTCTGGTCTCAATTTCGTTGAGTTCTGCTCGAATTTTAATTAACTCTCTTCTTCTGCTGGGCGTCGGGTCGATTTGCTGCTTCTTCTCTAGCTCCTTTATGTGTAAGGTTAGCTTTTGTATTTGAGTTCTTTCCAGTTTTTGAATGGATGCTTGTATTGCGATGTATTTCCCCCTCAGGACTGCTTTTGCTGCATCCCAAAGATTTTGAACGGTTGTATCTTCATTCTCATTAGTTTCCATGAATCTTTTTAATTCTTCCTTAATTTCCTGGTTGACCCTTTCATCTTTTAGCAGGATGGTCCTTAACCTCCACGTGTTTGAGGTCCTTCCAAACTTCTTCTTGTGATTGAGTTCTAATATCAAGGCGTTATGGTCTGAGAATATGCAGGGGACGATCCCAATCTTTTGGTATCGGTTCAGACCCGATTTGTGACCCAGTATGTGGTCCATTCTGGAAAAATTTCCATGTGCACTTGAGAAGAATGTGTATTCAGTTGAGTTTGGATGTAAAGTTCTGTAGATATCTGTGAAATCTATCTGGTCCAGTGTATCATTTAAAGCTCTCGTTTCTTTGGAGATGTTGTGTTTAGAAGACCTATCAAGGGTAGAGAGAGCTAGATTGAAGTCACCAAGTATAAGTGTATTATTATCTAAGTATTTCTTCACTTTGGTTAATAATTCGTTTAAGTATTTGGCAGCTCCCACATTCGGGGCATATATATTGAGGATTGTTAAGTCCTCTTGTTGTATAGATCCCTTAAGTATGATATAGTGTCCCTCTTCGTCTCTCACTACTGTCTTCGGAGTGAATTTTAGTTTATCTGATATAAGGATGGCTACCCCTGCTTTCTTTTGAGAACCATTTGAATGGTAAATGATTCTCCAACCTTTTATTTTCAGGTTGTAGGTGTCCTTCTGTCTAAAATGAGTCTCTTGTAGACAGCAAATAGATGGGTCCTGCTTTTTTATCCAGTCTGAAGCCCTGCGCCTTTTGATGGGGTCATTAAGCCCGTTCACGTTCAGAGTTACTATTGACAGATATGAGTTTAGTGTCATCATGATATCTATTTAGTCCTTGTTTTTGTGGATTGTTCCACTGAACAACTTCTTAAAGGGGAGTTTTAAGAGTCCCCCTTAAAATTTCTTGCAGAGCTGGTTTGGAGGTCACATATTCTTTCAGTTCCTGCCTGTCTTGGAAGCTCTTTATCTCTCCTTCCATTTTGAATGAGAGCCTTGCTGGATAAAGTATTCTTGGTTGCAGGTTCTTCTCATTTAGGACCCTGAATATATCCTGCCAGCCCTTTCTGGCCTGCCAGGTCTCTGTGGAGAGGTCTGCTGTTACCCTAATATTCCTCCCCATGAAAGTCAGGGACTTCTTGTCTCTTGCTGCTTTAAGGATCTTCTCTTTATCTTTGGAATTTGCAAGCTTCACTATTAGATGTCGAGGTGTTGAACGGTTTTTATTGATTTTAGGGGGGGGGATCTCTCTATTTCCTGGATCTGAATGCCTGTTTCCCTTCCCAGATTGGGGAAGTTTTCAGCTAGGATTTGTTCAAATACATATTCTGGCCCTCTGTCCCTTTCGGCGCCCTCGGGAACCCCAATTAAACGTAGGTTTTTCTTCCTTAGGCTGTCATTTAATTCCCTTAATCTGTCTTCATGGTCCTTTAATTGTTTGTCTCTTTTTTCCTCAGTTTCCCTCTTTGCCATTAACTTGTCTTCTATGTCACTCACTCGTTCTTCCACCTCGTTAACCCTCGTCGTTAGGACTTCTAGTTTGGATTGCATCTCATTCAGTTGATTTTTAATTTCTGCCTGATTGGATCTAAATTCTGCAGTCATGAAGTCTCTTGAGTCCTTAATGCTTTTTTCTAGAGCCACCAGTAGCTGTATAATAGTGCTTCTGAATTGGCTTTCTGACATTGAATTGTAATCCAGATTTTGTAGCTCTGTGGGAGAGAGGGCTGTTTCTGATTCTTTCTTTTGAGGTGAGGTTTTCCTTCTAGTCATTTTGCTCAGTGCGGAGTTGCCAAAAACAAGTTGTATTGGGAAAAGGAGAGAAAGAGAGAGAAGGAAAGAAAAGAGAAAAAGAAAAAAGAAAAGAAAAAGGAAAGAAGAGAAGAAAAAGGGAAAGAAAAAGAAAGAAAGGTGAAAAAAAAGGGGGTGGGGGAAGCAATCAGAAATCAAAAAGAGAAGAAAAAAAGAAAAAAAAACACGGGGGAGTATTTCTGTAGACTTTAAGTCCCTTGACTTCCCCTGGAACTGGTCCGTCCAGCTGGTCTTCTGGGGGAGGGGCCTGTTGCGCTGATTTTCAGGTGTTAGCACTTGGGGGAGCTGCTCTGCCCCTGCCTGCTGCAGGGCTCAGCGGGGGTTGTTTACCCCGTGAGGTCTCAGGAGGAACAGTTGCAGTTGCTATGGCAACTCTGGAAGTCTGGATTCAGCCTCCGCAGGAACTATGGGGCTCGGGGCTCTCGGCTCTCCGTTTGCAGGGCCTGGAGGCTCCGGGGCGGGCTGCTGATCTGCTCAGCTCGGGACAGGAGCGTCCTTGCTGTCCTGGGCCCTCCCGGCCTCTGCCTGTCCCGGGGGGAGGCCGGATCCTGGGCTGTGTCCCGGCGCCCTGTGCTCCGGGGCCTGCACTGTTGGATTTGCGCTCCCGCCCCGCAGCTCCCTCCCTGGAGCCGCTCCCGAGCCCCTCGAGCCCCTCCGAACTGCTCAGGTGTGTGCTGCAGCCCTTAGGGAGCTCGGAGCACTCCCCTGCGCTCGCAGGTGTCTGTTAGTGTCCCAGGGAGCCTGAGGGCATCCCCGCCCTCCTGGGTCCTGCTCTAACTCCCTGCGAGCCCCTTTCCCCCGGGAAGGATGGTGCAGCTCCTGCTCCTCCGGGTCGGGGCTCTCCCGTCCTGGGGACACTCGCCCCGGCCTCAGCCGGGCTCCTCGCGGGGCCCCTCCCCCTCGGAGGCCTTTTGTTTCTTTATTTCTTTTTCCCCGTCTTCCTACCTTGATAGAAGCGCGAACTCCTCTCACTGTAGCATTCCAGCTGGTCTCTCTTTAAATCTCAGGCCGAATTCGTAGATTTTCAGGATGATTTGAAGGTTATCTAGGTAATTTGTTGGGGACAGGTGATTTGGGGACCCTACTCTTCCGCCATCTTGCCCCTCCTCTAAAGACCCTTCTTAATGAAGTTCAAGTAGTAGGAGAACTTTTTATAACACAAGAGATGAGATAGTTCAGTGGTTGAGAGCACATACTCTGAAACTTGTGTTTGAGTCTTGATTCTGCTACTTTAACTGCTGTAATCCCAGGCAAGATGTACCCTCACTGTAAATAGAAATAATACCTACTTAATAGCCTTGTTGTAAAGATGAGATGGGTTAGTAGGTATAAAGTACTTAAAATGTTTCTGACATGCAGTAAACATTAGTCATGTGTTGGCTGATATTACTCTTTCTTTGATCTAGTACCGATTGGAATGAACTTTAGGATATATCAAGAACATAGAAACCAGTGCCTCTCCTGCCAACCTTCATGTACTTTTAAGCACCCTGGGGCCTGTATAGCATAGGAAAAGTTCTTAGTATCTTCTATTAGGTGTTTGTTTGTGATAATCACCAAGGGAGAGTTGTTTCCTTAATATTCTCTTGTATTTAAGTGGGGACATTTCTGCCTTTTGTGTTCTTTATGAAAATTTCTCTATGTGTTTCTCTATGTAAGTTTTATGATGTCTCCTGCTGGACAGACAGTTCCTTAGCCTATTTTGAAATCATGGTAGGGTTTTGAATGAAACAGGTAAAGAGTGTTCCAACAGAGAAAAGATCTCTGAGAAATTTTAACTCCTGTACTAATTTTGTTTTTAAGATTTTATTTATTTATTTGAGAGAGAAAAAGACAGAAAGAGAGAGAGAGAGCACAAGCAGGGAGGAGAGGGAGAAGCAGGTTCCTCGCTGAGCAGGGACCCCAATGCAGGGCTTGATTCCAGGACCCCGGGATCATAACTTGAGCTAAAGGAAGATGCTTAACTGATTGAGCCAACCAGGAGCCCCCCTCCTGTATTAATTTTAAGAGATTTCTCAAAAAGTCTTAAAAAGTTGTTTTTAGCAAAAGTTAACCAAAAGCTTCTTTTGTTTTGTATTAGAATTTCTGCAGAGGAGGAATAAAGAGTGCATCATTGAAGGATTTATGTCTGGAAGACAAAAGACGCATTGCAAATTTAATTAAAGAACTGGCCAGGTGAGATAAAATCTTATATGAAATGTATTATTACATAAGAGATATAACAATTTTTAAAAATAGACGTTACTATGTTTTGATGTCATTGTGTCATTGATCTTCTGGAAGCAGAGACTTTTAGAAAAAAGTATTCTGTGGCCCCAAAAAAAGAAAAGTAGAAAAAAAGAAAGAAACACCAGAACAAACCACTTCCATTTCACATTTTCTTGTTTATTTAATTTCTCCAGTTAATTGGTGCACATATGTGAAGCAGTCCTCTAACGAAAGGGAAAATGTAGAAGCTTAGCTCTGCTGTCAGTGTAGGTTCATATGTTGTAACTATGGTCCTAGCAATTACCTTTGGTTTTGTTGTAGACCCAAACAGAAGGGAACATTCATTTTACTGTAGTCCATCACAAGAATGTCTTTCGTAATTTTGCTAACTGATGCTTTCAGGATTCAAAAGAAGGGATTTTGAATTTTGAGAATGATAAGTTCATAGTTACTTGGTTGTACTGTTCCAGTTTATTAATGATGTATATGAAGCATATATCTTGGAGTAATTTTTTTGTCCATGTTACTTCCAGTTTTAGGGTCTTAAAATACTTAATAGATGAAGATGTCTATAGAGGAATGTATTAATATAAGTTGTAAAAGTCAAAATTAAGGAAAGGCCGTACTTAAAAGTTGATTAAAATAGTACTAGTTTTTGTCATTGAATTGCATATTTAGAGATAGTAGGTCTTTTCTTTATTTTTAATTGAAAATAACTATATGAAGTGTTTCAAAATGTATTTCATGTCAAGACCTTAAAATAATGTTTGTAGAAGCTTTTATAAAAAGATTGAAGTTAAAAAATTGCCTTACTAGGGATCCCTGGGTGGCGCAGCAGTTTGGCGCCTGCCTTTGGCCCAGGGCGTGATCCTGGTGACTCGGGATCGAATCCCACGTCGGGCTCCCGGTGCATGGAGCCTGCTTCTCCCTCTGCCTATGTCTCTGCCTCTCTCTCTCTCTGTGTGACTATCATAAATAAATAAAAATTAAAAAAAAAATTGCCTTACTAAATCATAGAATTTTTTTAAAAGATGACAACAATGATGTTTTGATGGTTAGGATATACGTTATGACTATTTAAAAGTACATGCCTTAGTCTGAATTTGATATGCCACCTGAGAGGAGCAGTAATTTCATTCTCTAGAATTCTTTGGCTGTTCTAGTCTCTGAAGTAGACTTTTCATTCACTTCAAATAGTGTTTTTTGTACTGGGAAAACATTTTACCCTCTGTATTTAAAGATGATTTTCTCACAAGGCTTTTTACCAAGTAGATGGTGTGGATATCCTTACATATGCTTGATGGCATTGAAAAACTATTACCATTGGTTTGACTTTGCCATTGCTGTCCTAACTCATCTATTTTATTTCAGTTACAAGGCTTGGAGGATACCTGAAATACTAGAGCATATTGTTTTGGTTTCAGCAACCTTCTGCTTTCTTAGCAAAATGCTAGTTTCTTGCTGGAGAGTCAGGTTGTTACTATAAGGTTAGTAAGATTAGTATTAGTATAAATTTGCTGATATTGCTAGAAACTCGATTATTACTTTACTATTAATATGCAGATATATGGGAATAATGCATACTTTGTTCGTTTCTTGAGTTTGCTAAGTTTCCTCTGTTGGATATTGGCTATTTCAGTCTACTTTATTGTGCTTCTTCTTACCAAACCCAATTTCTTCCTTCTTTTTTTTTTTTTTAACAAGACTCATTTTTATTGAAGTGGAGAAGTAGAGAACAAAATTCCATATGCCTCAAACAATGGCAACAAAACATTCCTAGCCTTTATGTTTTTTTTACCTCTGGATTTCACCCTGGTTTCAAATAACTGGTTTCCTGTTGTCATTGAATACAGTCATTTCTCTTTTATCTTGAGAAATATTCCTTGGACCACATATTTTTTTCCAGCTACTACTTTGTACACCACAACATAACCTTATTCCTAGAAAGAGTCTGTAGTTTTATTTTCTACTCTGTTGCATTTCATTCTCTCTTCAAGCTTATTTATTTAAAATATATAGAATTACAGTTTACATGCAATAGTTTTATATATGCATATATTTTTAAATATATGTTTGCATTTTAAGTATATACTTCAGTGAGTTTCGGCAAATGTAAGGTCACTTTAAAAAGTTCTGTTGAGATCTTTTACAATCAGTTCCTTCCTCTCTTCTCCATCCTGGACAGCCATTCATGTGATTTCTGTCATTATTTCTTGGTTTACATATTCTGACATGCCATGTAAATGGCCCATAGTACATACTCTCTTCAGTCTGGCTTTTTTCCCTCAGAAAATGATTTTGTGTGTGGTAAAATATATATATAACATAAAATTTACCATCTTAACCATTTTTAAGTATACAGTTCAGTGGTATTAAGTACATTCATATTGTTTTACAAACATTGCCGCAATTCACTTCCAGAACTTTTTCATCATTGAAACTCTATATACACTAAAAATAACTCCTCATTCTCCCTTCCTCCGGAGTCCTTGGTAACCACTATTCTGTGTGTTCCGTGAATTTGACTATTTTAGATCTTTCTTATAAATGAAACAGAATATTTGTCTTTTTGTATCTGACTTCAGGGAGTAATGTTTTTGAGATTTTTTTTTTCAGTTTGTTGTGTGTAGGAGTAGTTCATTTTTTAAATTATTGATTAGTACTCCATTGTTTGCTTGTACTTTAGTTTGTTTCTTCATCTGTTAAATGGATGTTTGGGTTGTTTTAGTTTTTGCCCTTTATGAATAAAGCTTTAATAGTATTCATGTACAAGTATTTGTGTGGATATGATGTATTTTTTCTTCTGCCTAAAGTATAGAATTACTCAGTTCTAAATTAAATCTATACTTAACTTTATAAGAAATTGCCAAACTGTTTCCTGATGTGGTTGTATTATTTCACACTTCCACTAACAACTGATGAAAATTCCATCGTTCAGCATATTCACTAACTGTAGATATTGTCATTTTTAAAAATTTTAGTCATTCTAATCAGCATGGTGATACCTCCTTGTGGAATTAATTTGTGTTTCCCTAAGATGAATGGGATCCTTGGCTATTCTTTTAAGTGTCTGTTAAATTTTTTTGCCTGTTTTTTTTGACCTGTTCCTTTCTCTTCTTGAAATTGAGGTGTTCTTTATATACTCGGGATGCAAGTTGTCAAACATATGGATATTATGGTTTTTTCCCCCCAACCTTACTTTAATTATCTTAATGTTTATTTTGTAAAGCAAGATTTGTTATTTTGCTGAACTTCAATGCATTGATTTTTTTGTTGTTCATGTCTTTGGTGTTCTATCTAAAAAGTCTTGCCTATCCCAAGGTAGCAAATCTATTTTTCCTTTGTTAGAAAAGACTACCGTTAATGCAGAATTACCTCCTTCTCCTTATCAAAAACTGACCATACATGCATCCCTTTCCCTGGGTATTTCATTCCATTACAGTGATCTTTGTGTTGCCCTTTGGCCAATACCAAACTGACTTGATTACTGTAGTTTTACACTAAGTCTTTTGAAATCAGGTAAGCCTCATTTGCTCTTTTTGAAAACTGTTTAGGCTTTTTGAGGTTCTTTACATTTCACTATAAATTTTAGCATCAGCTTGTTAATTTTTAAAGGAAAGTCGCCTCCTAGAATTTTGTTTGGGATGTACTGAATTTGTAAATCAGCTTGAGGAATATTGACATTTCACATTATTGAGTCTTTCAATTGGTGTTATGTCATGTTTCTCCATTTATTTAGATTATCTTAAATTTTTTTTCTGTAATGATTTGTAGTTTTCATGGCACAGGCTATAAAATAGCACATATATTGCCCTTAAGTATTTTATGTTTTTGATACTCTTGTAAGTGGCATAATTTACAATTTTTACTATACATTTAATTTTTTATTTTATTTCATTTTTCATATGATAAAACAGAATTGTTTTTTTAATATTGGCTTGATCTCAAACTTTTTAAATTCACTTACTATAATAGTTTTTTTTGGCTGAATACTCTGGATTTTCAGTATACAGTAATAATCATGTCAACTACAAATAAAATTTTATTTTTCCCTTTCCAATTTGCAGATACTTTGTTCCTTTTTCTTGCCCTTTTGCATTGGCTAGGACTTCTGCTACAAAGTTGAACTAAAGTGGATATCTTTGCCTTCCTGTTCCTGATATTGAGTCTTTCACCATTAAGTATAATGTAAGCTGAAGGTTGTTTGTAGACGTCTTTATCAAGTCAAGGAAATTTATTTTTGTTCCTAGTTTGCTGAGAGTTGTTTATTTAAATCATAAATAGGAGTAGAACTTTGTAAATGATTTTTCTTTATTGTGCTAGTAATATGATTTGGTTTTTTCTCTGTTAATGTAGTAAATTATATTGATTGGTTTTTGAATGTTTAATTTACCTTGTATTCCTAGCTTAACCCCACTTGGGTATGGTGGTTTTGGTTTTTGTTGTTAATACGTTGCTGAGTTTGAGCTAATATGTTTGTCAAAGATTTTGGTTTCATGAAAAATACTTGTGGTATTCATGAACTATCTTTTTGCATCTTTTAGTTTATTTTTTAAATTGTAAAATACATATAACATATAATTTATCATCTTAATCATTTTTTAAAAGCATTTATTTATTCAAGAGAGAGAGACAGAGAGGCAGAGAGGCGGAGAAGCAGGCCTCATACCGGGAGGCAGATGTGGGACTCCATCCCCGGTCTCCAGGATCACACCCTGGGTTGAAGGCGGCGCTAAACCACTTAACCACCCGGGCTGCCCCCATCTTAATCATTTTTAAGTGAATAGATCAGTAGTGTTAAATGCATTCACATTGTTGTTCAGCCAGTCTCCAGAACTCTTCATCGTCCAAAACTAAAACTCTCCGTTCGCTCTCCATCAACCCCTGATAATCACCATTCTCCTTTCTCCATCTGTGAATTTTACTTTTCTAGTACCTCATATAAGAGGAATCATTGCACATTATAC